CACGTTCGTTCTTTTCTTTTTGCATGCCTGTCTCCTCTCCTTTCATCGGAGAGCAGCCCTTCTGCCGGCGCCCTGGAACCCCTGCTTCCTCCTCCTTTACGGGATTCCCACGAAGAATTTCCTCTCCTCTTGATCGATGGGGCGCCTGGGTGGCTTAGTCGGTTAAGCGTCCGACTTTCGTTTAGGTCATGATCTTGCGGTTCGTGGGTTCGAGCCCCGCGTCGGGCTCTGTGCTGACTGCCAGCTCAGAGCCTGGAGCCTGTTTCAGTCTGTGACTCCCTCTCTCTCTGACCCTCCCCTGCTCACGCTCTCTCTCTCCTAGAAATAAATTAAAAAAAAAAAAAAGAATTTCCTCTCCTTACATCTTCGGTCGCTGCCATATATATTAACCTTAAAACTGACACTGCCAGTTACTTTACCAGCAAAATAGGCTTATTCGGGAACAGTAGAGAATTGCAAGGAAACAAGCAAACACCAGCAAAGCCAGAGACTAGCCCGGAAAACAAAGAAGAGAAACCTTTTTCTAGAGGAAAGGAGGAAGTCGGGAGGGCTATTAATAACAAGAAGTCCATTGGCGTAAACTGGGAGGTCAAAGTATAAGGGCTTTTCATTGGCTGAGTTGTGGCAGTCTCTCATTGGCTGGACTGTTGCTGGGGCGAAGAAACATTTCTTCAGTTGGGCTTGTGCAGTAGTAGCTAAAGCAGTATCACGTTGCAAAGTACTGCTCTTCCTGTTATGTCTGCAATTGACCACAGGTGGTAAGCCCCCAGACTCCATTTTAAAGGAGGTTTCCTTTTATTAATTTTCAGTTTTCACTGGTTCTTTTCCTGCTTACAAACGTGCTCAGGTAAGTCTCTCTTGGTCCGAAAGAACTTCCTTTGGACCTTGTTCTGTTCTTAAGCGACACTTCTATTTTTCTCCTATGTTTTGCCTCCAGATTTCTCAAGAGGAGGCTAACTCAGTGCTGGACTTCACAGCCTTCCAAAACTGAATGCTTACTTTCACAAATACTGAAGAGTTACCGATGACCTTACATATGTCAAATCCAACCACTTCTTAATAGTCCTCTCTCCTTTTAAATTCAGCTGAGCGACACCCCTTTCCCCTACTTCCCAACACCTTCTTGCACTGACTTTGGAAACAAGTCTCCCTATTCTCTCTCTTCCCTAACTCTTCCTTCCCACCCTCTTTAATCCCCAAACAAAGCTACTTTTAATTGTTTTCATCCTTCCACACAAGGAGGGAGGGCTCTTTTCTTGCATAAAATTAAAGAAAAAAAAGTTACATGTAAGTATACACATATGTCTTAATACACATAAATATTAACATATGTAAGTATAAATAAATATAAATATGAATGGTCTTTAAAAGTCTATCACTGACTTCCTTATATATTGGATATTTTTAAGTTATATATATAACTTATGTATTTATGTATCATCCATATCTATAGCTATCTTTTTATATTCAATTTAATAAAATAGTAATCATTTAGAAAATGGGCACTACATTATGGCCCCTAAAATATAAAGATGTAATTGCAACAGAAGTAGCAACAGGGAGGCAGATTTCCAGTCTTCTTGAAATTTTGCCAACGGCTGAAGTGCATTCTTGATTTCCCTTTGTAACATTAATCTCTACCATGGATTTTACTGCCATCTCTCTGTCAGGAAGTTTCCAGTATCTCTTATTAAACTACATGCAGTTCCAGTTTCCCTCTATTGCCTCAAATTCAACACATCCTAGCAGAACGCATTCTACCTCCATTTCTATCGAATTTGCCTTACTTTTTTGTTTGTCTTCCTAGATTCAAAGGACTTCTATATAGAAGTAACACTATTTGCAATGGTGTAGTGATAAACATGGTTCAGTTAATGCAGTAAACATGTTTTTAGAATACGTGGCCATAGACTTTTAAGAAATATGGGTGGAAAGGATTGCATCATTTATTGGTTATATTTTTAATAAATATATTGTTTACTGTTGATAACAGCAATAAACCTTCTAATTATTGGATATGAGTAAGGGGGCTTGCTTTCTATGATTTTACAGATCTTCTGCGATTTCATTTGCAAGCACATTTGATAAAGAAAATTTGACCAATGAAGTGAGAACTGAAGTTCTCAGTGAGGAAATAAAATCTTTAACAATTTTCATTCTGTTTATAAAATCACTCACACTATTGGTTTTAGAGTTAGGAAAATTCAAGGACATCCTATGACATCAAGTTTTACTGTGACAAAAGGAGATAGAATAATTGTAAGATTTTCTAGAAAATTCTATTTAAAAATCAGCTCTATAATAATCTTAAGATTTAAGAACCAGTTAGTAAGACAGAGTCCATGAGAATGTTATTTTATATAGTGACATTCATTTTCTTAAAAATTTAGCTCTGATACAACTTTTCATTATTTTCAACTCAAGGTTTTTGGGTATTTTTTTGGTTTTTGGCTTTTGTTTTTAATCTTAAAGCTACTGAATTGAGATTAGTGGTTTTAAACTTTAGAAGTCTTTAAAAAGTTTACTACTGACTTCCTAATTAGCTTAAGACATGACACCTTTTTGACAAAAATGTAGCATCTACATTGTGCTAAAAATGCAGATAGAACCTGTATAAAGAAGATGACATTAAGCTCTAGACTGGAAATACATGGAACTTTTAATTCATTCACTCAACCTGTACTTTTTTTTAAACAAATGCTTTACTTGTTTGTTTATGTATTTATTTGTGTGTGTGTGAGAGGAGAGAGAGAGAGAGAGAATGAGAGAGAACTTGAAGCAGGCTCTAGTACAGCTCGGAGTCCGATGTGGGTCTCAATCCCATGATCCAGGATCATGACCTGAGCAAAAATCAAGAGTTGGATACTCAAGAGACTGAGCCACCCAGGCCCCCAACCCCCCCTCTCCCGCCAACCTGTACTTTTTGAGGAACTATTCTAGGCATGTTCTAGGTGCCAGAAATTCAGGGAGAGCAAAGGACAATAAACCCTTCTCTCTTGTAGTTTACATTCTGAGGATAAGGAAGTAAATCAAGCAGAATGAATCCATGGATTTTACATTGTATTACAAGTGATGCCCTAAATGCTAAGGAGAAAAATAAACCAAAGAAGGGTATGGGGGAGTAGGGGGTTGTAATTAAAATTGGGATTATCAGGGAAGGGCTCATAGGGCAGATTGCCCTTGTGCAAAAACCCTTGGAGGGTGAGGGAGAAAGGATAGATATCTGGACGTATGTCTGCAGACTCCTCCACACATCTTTCAAGGCCCAAGACAAGCTCCCTGAGTCCCCTTGCTTATTAAAATCGTGACCTACCAATCTGGAGTGGTTTCCCCGGGTCTTCAGTTTCTCCCTGTGCTCCAGGCACTGGGGCAATTTTCAGATCACACCTGAGAAGCTCCTGAGGCGATTGCAAACCAACAAGGCCTTTTTGTCACGAGATAGCAATTTGGAGGGTCCTGGGCTCAGAGGATGCTTTAAAGAATCATTCCGACCAATGCTTTGCAAGCAGCCTGTAGGGTCTCCAGGGTGTAAGCAGGGAGAGCAGAGGGAGGTGACTGCAATAATCCAAATGAGATGATGGTGGCAGACCAGGGTGTCTGCAGTGAAGCAGAAATATTAACATAGTATTTTGAAGAAGGAGCGGCGGTTTGCTACTTCCTGCCTTCTGCGAGAGGGGAAGAAAAGGGGGGCCAAGAAGGACTCCAAGTTGTTGGTGTTCCAGCCACGGGAAAGGACGTGGTTGCCACTCTCCCTCCTCCTCCCCACCCCCACATGAGGTAGGCGGGGCAAGCGGGTTTGTGGAGGAAATTAGGGGGTCAGAGTTGAGTGAGCTGGGTTTGAAATGTCTGTTAGCATCCAGGGAGAGGCCCGGTCTCCTCCTCCACCTTCCCTTAGGAGTGTAGGAATCGTGACCCCTAGGAGGCACCAGCCCTCCTGTAACTCCGTCAGGGGCTGCTGTGCGCCTGAACTTGGGACACGTTTGAAGCATTGTTTTACCAGAGGGAGCCATTTTACTAATTATTCCCAGGCGGATATTTGCCAGCTGTGGCTTTAGCAGTTGGGCGTAGAAGTGAGGTTCCTGGGAAAGGCTCCCGCCGCAGATACAAGCGCCACAGATACAAGCGTGGGAATTATCAGCTTGAAGCTGGTGTGCAAAGCCATCAGATCAACAGAGGAGTGAATTGAGAAGACAATGTGTGTACTTCTCTCACATGGTTGTTGGCTTGTGAGGATCAAATTAAACACATACATTACCTGGCACACAGCGCTTAACAAAGAGGGTTGCTATTTTTATTAATAAACCCTGCTGCAGGAGCTCGTCCCTGAGCAACATCCGGTGCAGACAAGCGGGCACGCTTTTTGGTCAAGGAAGAAGCAACGACTTTATGTGGTTGAGAAGACTGGCATTGATAGATGGATGGGTCTCAGTCCAATGCTTTCGTTGTACGGGGGAGTGGGGGAGGCTTGAGGAGAGTAGGCGCAGCTAACCGGCGGCCGAATGGAGCCTCCACTGGGTCTCAGGTTTCCCGCCCGCGGGACCCTGGGCTTCCAGTCTACTCCACCCGATCTGGCCGGCTACCCCGCCAGCCCGAGCGCCAACCCCGCGCGTCACTGACGCACGCGGCCTCTCCCGCGTCTAAGGTCCTGGAAGCCCCGGTCTCCGGCTGGCCGCGCCGCCGCTGAGAGGCTACCGGGAGGAAGTACCGAGGCGCCCGGCGTAGGCCAAAGAGCGACCCGGCCCTGCGGGGAGGAGCGGGGAGGAACGGCGGTGGGGTAGGGCCTGGCTGGCGCGCGGCAGCTGTGCGCACTTGGGTTCTTTCCGCGCGCGGGCCACACGTGGAACGGAGCACCCGTGCGCTCGGCCTCCAGCCACTGGGCGGGGTCGGGATTGAACATGCTGGAAAAGGAGGGCGCTCGAGTCTCCGCCCGGCCGGAGCCTGGGGCTGCAGCCCCGGGGCGGGAAGCGGGGCGGGGCTGGGAAAGTTGAGTATTGGTCGCCGGGGGCAGGGCTGCGCGCAGGAGCGCCGGCCGCTGGTACCGTAGAAGGCTGGGGAGGGCGGGGTAGGTGTGGCTCTGCCTGCGTGACCCGAGCCCCGATCCCGGTCGCCGTCGTCTCCCGCAGCTGCGGCCTCTCAGCCATGGGCGCCGTCTGGTCGGCCCTGCTGGTCGGAGGGGGCCTGGCCGGAGCGATTTTCGTTTGGCTCCTGCGGGACGCGGGGAAGGAGAGCGACGCGGAGCAGACGGACGCCCCTCTTGGGGAGACTGCGGCTCCAGGAGGCGATCAGGGTGGCGGCGGGGGACCCAGCCCTGTACCTTCCAGACGGGAGCTGATCACCAAAGCAGGTATTCTTCCTCCCACGTCTCGAGGGCAGATCTGCCGTGGGGCTTTGAAGTTCACTGAGGGAGGAAAAAAACCCACCTGGTGCTTTTCTCGCGGCCCTTTCCGGCGGACTAGCCTCCCCTACTCCGGACAGGACCCTTCCCACGCCTCTCATTTTTCCCAGGCTAGTGCGCACGCGCCGGGCAGTTTCTCGCTCTCCACTGAGGCTCCGAAGGTTCCCTGAGCCGGCGTCCGAGGGTAGCGCCCGGCAGTCTCTACCCTCGGCGCCCGCCCACAAGGACCTCGAAGGGGATGGGCCCCTTTGCGTGGCGGCACTTGGCGCAGTGCGGGCCGCCGCAGCGGCGGCGCCCCTTCCGGGCCTTACAAAGGGCATGCCTGGGTTCAGGGAGATCCTACAAGCCTCTTCAGTCTCAGACCCTACAGGGACACATTCGGTGTCCCATTAACACCGAAAAACACATTAATACAGCCCCAACCCCATTAACCTCACGTCTTTCCTTACTTCACCTCATGCAAGAGCTGGGTTTGGGAACACCCAGGCGCTGAGCACCTCCTGCTATCTGGATGCTTCTGTCAGGAAGGCAAAGTTCAGGTTGGCCTCTAGCCAGGAAGGCCTCAGCTGAAGCCCTAGGGCTGTATGCTGGCCGCCCATTTCAGAGCTGTAGGACCCACAGCGCAGGGCTGTCCAATGCCCCAGGAGGGGACCTACATAATAGGGCACCCGACTCCAGTGAGTAGAATTGACATCCAGATTTACATGTGAACATGTTAGAGACTGTGCTAGGCAAAGTAAGAGCACTGGTAGAAAACCTTAGCTCCCAGTGCCCTTCCTTGGCCAGCTGCCCATGCCTGGACTCCAGCCGAGCGGTGAAAATGACATCTGGGAACTTTATTTTTAGTGGAGTCAGTCGGTGTTCATGTGTAGCCATTTGAAAGTCTGCCGCTGTGCCTTTCCTACGATTGGTTTGAGATGAGCAGAGAGCTCATCTATCTTCAGGAAGCCAGTCTCATGTTTTAGGTTGAACGATTGATAATTCAGGGCAACGTTTATGTCTCAAAACTCCACCATTAAAAAGAGATAAAATTAAACAAAGCCAATATCCCCAGCCTCCCCAACACCCGCCCCCCCAATCTATGATGATTGTATGACTTGGGAGACTTCCATCTTGCAGGGACTAGCCCAGGTGTCAGTGAGGTGGCCAAGAAGGAAACTGAGCCTTTAGGGAGCTTGGATTTTGTACTGCAAGAACATGTTTTTTAAAAATGTACAATGGGAGGAGATGTAAAAAGCCTATGTTTTGTTAAAGAGGTTTACTTTATTTATTTGAGAGAGACAGAAACTGCACAAGTGGGGAGAAGCAGAGAGAGGGAGAGAGAATCCCAAGCAGGCTCCACATTGCCTTCACAGAGCCAGAGGCAGGGCTCAAACTCCAAACACTGTGAGATCATGACCTGAGCTGAAACCAAGTAGGTCACTTAACCAACTGAGCCATCCAGGCACCTCAAGATTTTCTTCTGATGGATATGGGGTTGGCATGGAGAAACTAGCCCTCTCTCCCCACCCTCAGCCCCATCATTGTTCAGTGATGCACTGCTATCCTTTGTATCTGCCCCTTCCCCCCGACCCCCAGCATCCCTCCCTCCATAGTAACAGCTGCCCACACCTGTGAGAGCCGATCCCCGGGCTGCGGGCAGTTCCTGGGAGCAGAGGCATACTCTTAAGATCCGTAGGGTAGCCATGCAGATCTTTGCCCCACAGGCTAGACCGCATTTTCTGCTGATAGAAACCGAACTTGGCTGCATGCCAATAAGGCCTTGCAGAGATTGAGGACCCTGACAGGGTTAAACTGCTACCTCTATAACTGGCCACTTCATTTACACTCTTGTGTGAGCACATGGACACTCTCAGCTGTGTCCTTTATTGTTGGATATACACGTGCGTTCTTAGAGCGTTCTGTTTGTTCAGTTAGTGTCTCAACTAGGTAATTAAGCACTTGCTTTTAATAGAGATGGATTTCGTGAACTGCAGATAGATTAGTGGTAAAGTCTTCAATAAACCTATTTTCTCAGCGTTTTTTTCCCTCAACATGAACTGTCTAACACTGTTACATTTTTCCTTTTGTTTTTTAGCGCATCTTCAAGAAAGCAATGGATGTTTGGTTTCAGAGACCAAAGGCCATGGTAACCTGCAGGAAGCAACATGGAGATTGCAGAGTCCTTCTGGAAAAGATGGTGGTTGTGACCGTTCAAGAGAGCATGTTCCTTCTGGACAGTTTCCAGAATCTCTAGCTACATCTGAGACTGGTGACTCTAGGGGTTACTGTGAAGTTTCAAGAAATGAAAGCCTTCAGTCTCCTAAAGGAGAATGGGGATTCCAGAAAGGACAAGAGACACTCGCTAAAGGAGCTCCGTGTTTTGCCGAAAAGTTGTATTCTAGCAACCTGGTCATTGACAGAGGGAAAGAAGTGAGGCTTGCCGAGTTGAGCAATCAGGACCGGGCTGACAATGAGGACTGGGAAATGGTGTCCAGGCACTCCTCTTGGGGAGATGTTGGTTTGGGTGGCAATCTTGAGGCTTCAGTGTTAAGCCCAAACCAGGGAATGGACTGTGGCAGAAGCACTCGTAGGGAACCCAGAGGTCAGGAAGTGGATGTGAAACGAAAAAAGGTAGTAGCAAGGTCTTCAGAGTCTCAGCAAGTTAGTATCAGGTTCCAGATCCATTATATCACAAGCACTGGTGGGGAATTCATTGCAGTAACTGGAGACCACGAGAGTCTTGGGAGGTGGAATACTTACATCCCGCTGCAGTATAGCAAGGATGGGTTCTGGTGCCAGTCTGTGTCCCTGCCAGTAGATACAGTGGTGGAATGGAAGTTTGTAGTGGTAGACAATGGCAAAATTACCCGCTGGGAAGAATGCAGCAATAGGTTCCTGGAGACTGGCCATGAGGATAAAGTGGTTCAAGAGCGGTGGGGGATTCACTGATTCGGTTCTCAAAGTACTGGAGAGGCTATTTGTGGAGCACACTGAATCATTTTAAATAAAGGAAGTATAACTCCAAATAATAGCCATCAAAGTTGTTTCAAACTTGCTAGTGGCTTTTGTCTAATGTGCAGAAATATATATATATGTAGTTATATGCTTTCAGTGAGCATGGACTTTTTTTCCCCTGTGGCATTGATGGGTGGATTTTTGCTGATCCATGGTTACTTCAGAGCTTAGTCCTCTCTGGGAGTGATTTGGCTAAGCTTCAGGTGTGGACTGGCCAGGGCACGCAGAAACCAACCAGCTGCCCAGGGTTCAAGCATGAGCGTTTGGGTGACCCTTAAACCAAGAGTGAAACAAGCCTCATTCATTAAAGAGCTGCCTTCCTACTGGTACAACTGGAGAAACTCCTTACTATGGGCACGCTCAATATTAAAAAGTTAATGTCATATGGAACTGTGATAAAAAATATCTGGTCACAAGGGGTGGTTAGCAAGGATATGAGGTTATACGTTAAGACTCCCCAGTGTTATGTTTTTTTGCTTTTGCTTGATTTTTACCTACTAGCCCCAACTTGAAGGTAGTCAGTCTTTGTCTTAATGATTGCAGACCAGTGTAGAAACAAGGGGCGTATTCCAAGTCTGTCCCTGGGAGGAGACCATGAGGGAAGGGGGCGGGAAAAGGATGAAGGTGTGGGCTGAGCAGGGTGGCCTGAGTGGTGCCTCTTAGAGGGCTGGGAGGTCCAGGTCATTGCAGTAACTGGACTGCAGACTACAGTTCAGAGGACAGAGAGGACACAGCCATCATTTACCTCCAGGCCCTTTGCAGGACTGCCCCACCCCTGCCCTTCTCTCTCCCAGGGGGGTCTGGACTGACAGATGGACTGGCCCATAGCAGTCATTTCTCCTGCCCTCTCCTGTCATACCAGTAGCTATCCTGGGTAACAAAATTATAACAGGACAGTGACATACAGGTACAGCTTTGTTTTGAGAAGAAGTAAGACATTTAAACTTTATCATAACTGAACAAATAAAACCTGAGTTCTAATATCTTTATTAAATGTCTGAATTATTTGTCTAAATCTTAGTACCATAATAGCTTAGATATAAAACAAAATACCAATATTTTCCTCCACTAATAACAGACGCATAGAAAAAAGCAAACATCAAGAGGCAAGAGGTTATGTTTTCTCCTCTCTTTGGGGAAAACATTTTAGAATTTTTTTTAAAACTTCACCTTTATTTGGAGGGATATTATGCATGCCTGTACCTGAAAATGAATTTTTCTTATATGTTAAAACAACTTGTAGTAAGTACAAAATCATTTGGAGAAACGGTGTTTAATCCTGGGTACAGGTGGTCCTTGCTGAAAAGAGGATAAACCCAAAAGAAAAGAGAAAGTGCTTATAAACTATGATGGTTTTTGGCTTCTAGCATGTAATTGTTAAATCCACATATACTTTTTATACTTTTTTTGTAAAGAATTTCATACTCTACCACTAAGGTCTTCAGGGGAAATTTACTATTACTGCACAAAATACCCAAGCATTTCTATAAGGTACAATTAAAACAGTTTACAATAAAAATTTCTTTAGAGATCTTTCACTAGCAATTTATCATTACCTGATGAAGTAAAAATCTTTCAGTAAAACCAGTTGATGTAACAGATAAAGTTCATGTTTAAAATTTTTTTTTATTTTTTTAATGTTTTATTTATTTCTGAGAGAGAGCAAGACAGCATGAGCAGGGGAGGGTCAGAGAGAGAGGGAGACACAGAATCCGAAGCTGTCAGCTCAGAGCCCGACATGGGGCTCGAACCCGCAAGCCGTGAGATCATGACCTGAGCGGAAGTCAGATACTTGACCGACTGAGCCACCCAGGTGTCCCTTAAATATTTTTAAAAAATATATTGTAAAGTTGGACATGCTTAGCATTCTAAACTGTCATTTAGAGGAGAAACAGGAGGATTTAGTCACTATTATCTGCACTGTTTGGGACTAATGCTGCTGTCACAGGCAGACACCACGCACGTTAAGAAGGCTGCACCAGAAGCCTGTTCCTTGCCCACTGAATAATCAGCAGCGGGTGTTTCTGGCAGGAGGGCAGCCCCCGCTGCAGATTGCTGCCCTGGCTGCTTCTGTCCTGCGGCTCTGCCGTCCCCCAGGACCCCACCGTCCACCAGATCCAGCTCCTGGAGGGGGAAATAAAGTGAGGGGAAAACCACAAATGCTTACTAAAATTTTTGGCCAGAAAGTGCCCCATATTGCTTTGTCTACAAGCCTTTAGCGAGGACTGGTCAGTAGATGTGACGGGGCTGGGGCTGGGGAAGAGCCTCTAGCAGGGCAGCCACTTTTCTGTGACATCTTTCGACAGCTACTGCCGTCCCTGCTGTCTCTGGCAGGAAGACCAGTGATTAGAGGACTGGAACCTCCAGCCCTGCTCCCTGATCTCCAAGGAGGAGAGGGGGACTGCGGATTAAGCTCTATAAAACTCCTCAGTAAGATCTGAGAGGCTTCCAGGTTGGTAAGCAGGCCTAGGTCCTGGGAGGGTGACATGCCCTGAGCAGGCACGAAAGCCTCATGTACCAGAACCCTATACTTTGCCCCGTGCATCTCTTATATTTGGCTGTTCTGAGTTGTTTCGTTTACAATAAACCGGTAATAGTAAGTAAAGCACTTTTCCGAGTTCTGTAATTTGTGCTAGAGAGCTAGTGAAACTGAAGAGGGGGTTGTGGGAAACTCCCAATTTATAGCCGGTCAGTTAGAAGTACAGGTGGCCCAGGACTTGTAACTGCATCTGAGGTGGGGGGCAGTCTTGTGGGACTGAACCCTTAAACCTGTAGAATCCGATACCAACTCCAGGTAGTTAGTGTTAGAACTGAATGGACTCCTAGGACACCTAGCTTGTATCCACAGAGAGTTGGTTATTGCTGTTAGAAAATAATCCATATACAAAACCCTCCTAATCTAGTAAAAGTCTAAGTAAAGCAGGCTGAATCCATTCAATCTAGAAGTTACTCACTGACTGAAGAACACATTTTTGTTTCTTTCTTTACAAATTATTAATATGTAAAGGAAAAACTTTTCTAAAAGTTTTGATTAGGGGAGGGGCTTGATGTGTTATCTGATGACATTCATTGACACTGACCAAACAGTGAGTTCAGGGTCACAAAACGATCCCTGTCAGTACATTGGAGTTTGTCCTTCTGGGCATTATACCACATATTTTACTCGTGTGTCAAGTGTTTTTGAAGCTGAAAACGATAACTATTGCTTCAGCATTAGTAAAGATAAAAAAAAAAAAAAACCAAACCACATAATTATTCCAGCATACTAGTATTAACACAAATTAATACCTTATAAGGGATGCATTCTTTCACATCTAGCTAGAACTGTTTGAAGTTTTACTGTGAGAGCATTGAAGAATAGTTTATTTCAAAATAGAGTTTACAGGACAGGGTATCTTTTATTAAATTTTCACATAAAAAGAAAAAAGTACACAGGGCACTAATTATAAGCAACACCACAATTATTTGGGTAGCATCCCTCTGTAAAGAACAGGCAAGCAATGTATCATTTTAGTAACATTTTCTCCTGGTCTTTCACTTTCTGTATCCTCTTTTCTTGATTTCTGATCATTGAAGACATTGCTGAAAATGTTGATAAAACACAGTTAGATTAGCAACATTGGCTCTGGCTTTAAATTCTATAATGTGCTTCTTAAAAGGTCAGCCTGCTACTTTAGAAGAGATATATTCTGAGATTAGGAAATTCTTAAAAATTACCAAGTAGCATATTTTTGAAACGACTGATCTTACGGACAGAGGTAAGGCTAAATCTTTACTCTTTCAGTTGTTCTAAGTGAGCATACCTATTATAGAAATAAAACAGACTGATTGCAAATAATTTGAACACCTCAGAAGGGTACGAAGAGAGACGAAGATGAAGGTCAGTATTTGTCCCTGCTCCCTCAACCTGCTGAATTGCCCTCAGAAGTCATCACTGAATGCCAAGGACAAACTGAGGGCTGATGGGGGTGGGGGAGAGGGGAAGGAGGGTGATGGGCATGGAGGAGGGCACTTGGGATGAGCACTGGGCGTTATATGGAAACCAACTTGACAATAAACTATTTTTTAAAAAAAAATAAAATAACTATTTTCTAAAGTTACCACAGATTATAAGTTAAGACCATTGTGTGGCCACTTAAAGCAAATAAAATTATAAACTCTGAAAAAAAAAGAAGTCATCACTGAAAACAGTTTGGTACATACCTTCGTGTACATGCATGTACATGCTCACACTTTTCTTCTTTACACAAATGGAAATATGTAGTACAGATTGTTCTGTAGCTTGCTATATTCACTTAAAAATTTTCAACATTTCTCCAGCTCATGTTTTGTTATGACTCCACAGTATTCCATTACATGGATGTACCAACATGTTAGTAAATAAAATTCTTAAAGGTTGATTTCTCAGGTTTTCAATCATGGAATGAATAAGTCATGGGGATGAAAGGTACAACGTAGGGGATACAGTCAATGGTATTATAACAGCAATTTATGGCAGCAGCCGGTAGCCACATTTGTGGGGAACACAGCATAAAGTACACTATGTCATACACCAGAAACTAACGTAGCATTGTTAACTAAACTTCAGTAAAAAAGAAAAAGTTGCTTTCTTTTTTCATTTGTAAACAATAATATAGAAAATACTTTTAGAAGCAGACTTTTATGTGTTTGTGCAATTTTTTCTTGAATAAATTACTAGAGGTAGAATTTCTGGGTCAAAGCATATATACCTTTGTTTTGATAAATGCTCCCAAAATATTTGTTTCATAATTTCCAAGAGACATTCCATCCAGACAATGCATCAAATAAAAAGGTCTTTTTATTTTTTAAACAAATACAACATGACTCCCATTTGTGAATAAAAATGGGGCCAGTAAGATAATGCACCCTTTAAAAAAATCACAATAAACTTAAAATCAAATGTTTTCTTAATGTTTATATACACAAGGATCTGGGATCATCAGAAAGGATCTGGAATTTTCCATAGTAACAATTTGGCATAGCCTCAGCATGTTAAAAAAAAAATGTGGACTTTGGAATCAGCAATTGCAGAGATCAAGTCCCAAATATTCTACTCATTGTTGTGACTTACAATTTACTGATTATAATCTGACCATCAGTTTCCTCATTTTCAAAGGACCTGATTGATATCAGCACCCATCTCCCAGTGTTGTGAGGCTCACATGAAGAAAACATAAATCAAACACTGAGTATGGGGCCTGCTACACAGCTGATAAGTGCTCAATAAATATTAATAGCAACTATTAAGGTTAAATTTTCTTTATAAGGAATTGTTCTTAGAAAAATACTTGCTGGTTGCAGCCCCTCT